GCGGCGGTGTTCCCGCCACACGTGGGCTCTGTCCAACAGCCAGTGCCAGTGCGGGGAGAGGGGAGAGGTGGTGGGGAGGCGGGTCCCAGAGGAGAAGAAAGGGGACTGGAGGTTTGTTCTAAAAGAAGAGGGTTCCTAGCTTTCCTCTAAGATGTGGGACTAACCGGAGGGCTCTGGAGGTGCGAAGGTGGAAGGGAGACCAGGGGAACCAAGAGCAGCCTGGAGGGAGCTGCAGTTTCCTTGACTGAAGGCGTGGGAACCAGTCCCTGTGGTGAGGATGCCCTGCACCAGCACAGAGGCTCCAACTTCTGGGAGTGGGACCCGGCTCTGAGTGAGCCGCGCAGCTCAGCTTGCGCTGACGGCCTGCTGCCTGGCGCCGGACTTGGCACTAGAGAGGAAGCCAAATCCCTCCTGAGCCTCTGTTCAAGTCCGGGAGACAGACATACGGAGGTGAAGATAGGACCTGAATCTCTGGAAGAATAGAGGAGGTGGGGGCCGTGTGGTGGGCTGGCTTTTAGATGAAGCAGTCAGGGAGGGCTTCTCTGAGGAGGCGAGGGATCGAGCAGGTGACTGCCTGGGGCAGAGGTTCTGGGAGGTGCTCCTACCCCCGTCCACAGGGAGCCTTCAGTCCCCAAGCCAGGCCCCCACAGTCCTTCTTCAGTCAGGCAGGTGGCCAGCCGAGTTGTGGTTGTAGTCCTGTTGTCCTCCCTTTGCTGGACCCTCATTTGGCCACGCCCATTGTCCCCAGCATCTGACACTGGGTGCTCCGTGATGGGGTCCCTGGTGGCTGAGATTCGGCAGGTGTGATAAAGGCTGTCCCCGCTTCCCCAGGCGGGGCGGACGAGACCGAAGTCCTGGCAGAAAGAGGAGAGCATGCGTTCTCATCGGGGCACCCCGTGGAGCCCCCCACTGTGGGACCAGGCTGCCGGGTCTGCCGCTCCACACCGCGTCCTCTAGCCCTGTCGTCACAGTTCTGCTTGGAACTTGAAACTGGCAGTCACTTCCCTCGTGCCTGGTGTCTGGGGAAAGGACCAGCTGCTTGCGTGGGGTTTGAGTCTGTTGCTGCCCGTTGCTTTCTTAGGGCTTTACTAAGCCACTGCTGCCCATGTGGGAACTGGTGGGCGGGGAGGCCAGGCCCTGCCTTCAGGGAGCTTCCAGAGTGCGAGGCGTGGTGCAGCCCTGGCTGCAGTGCCAGCACCTCTGGGAGAAGAGGGGGCTCCGGGAACATCAGTGTGACCTCGCCCTTTGTTGTCTTATGGGGAAACTGATGCCCAGATACGGGAAGGGGCTTGGCCAGGCCTAGCCGTGTGTTGCTAAGGCTCCGTGGAGGGAAGGGGGCTCTGTTGGGGTTTTCCCTGCCTTTCCAGGCTCTGGCGGGAAAGCTTCCAGGGTGCATGGGGAATTTGATGAGGGTTTGTGCCTGTGGGGCAGCCGGGGGCCAAAGGGGAGAATGAAGCGAAACACCCGCGTGTGGTTGCCACAGGCTTATGACCTGGATTTTAGCAGCTGTTGAAACAACTGGTCCCTGGGCCTGTGATCCCTGGAAGGGGCGGGGTGGGGAGAAGGGAGATCACCTGAGGGTCTGCCTGGGCCGGGACAGCTGGGGATGGGGACAGCTGAGTGGGCAGCTTCTTGCCAAGAATAGCCACCCTGGGTCCCCTCGACCTGGGACCCTGCTCTGCGCTCTGAGCAGAGAGGACAGGTAAGCGCAGGAGCGTGTTCTAGAAACACGCTTGGGAAGGGGTCCCCTACGTGAGTGCCTTGTGGGGGTGCTGGCAAGAGGGAGGGTGGCGCCCGACTCCTGTCTGGGTGACTTCGGGCAAGTTTCGTCACCTCTGTTTCCTAATCTCAAAATGAGAATATGACGTATAGGAAGTTCCCAGTCCACTGGGGACGCGCAGTCGGCGCTTCAGAAATGGTAGCTGCTGTTTTCTTTTTTTGTGTGTGAGGAGATCAGCCCTGAGCTGACATCTGCCAATCCTCCTCTTTTTGCTGAGGAAGACTGGCCCTGGGCTAACGTCCGTGCCCATCTTCCTCCCCTTTATGTGGGATGCCGCCACAGCATGGCCTGACAAGCAATGCATCGGTGCGCGCCCGGGATCCGAACTGGCGAATCCTGGGCCGCCGCAGCAGAGCGCGCGCACTTAACCGCTTGCGCCACCGGGCCGGCCCCGGTAGCTGCTATTTTCATAGTGGTAACCTCGACACCTGTTGTTGGCTGGACCCGCAGCCTCCTTGGGCGGGGTGACGTGCTTCAAGGGGGCGGAGGCTGGGGCACCGTCTCATTTGTGGCTTCCTCCCCCTATAGCTGCTTCTCCGAGCAGCTTTCTCTAAGGAAGGGGCCCGCCTGGCCCGATGAGCGGGAGAGCGCAGTGGGGGAGTCTGTGGGGTCCCCAGATCCCAGCAGAAGCTCCTTGTAATGCGGGATTGTCCTGGGTCAGGCCTGAGGGTCCCAGGAGCTCACCCGGGTGCAGGGAACTAGCAGGATGGGGTCTTTGTGAGCCAGCCGACACTCGGTGATTTATATCAACCGTAGCCCCCCCAGCCCTCCCCTGGTTCACTCGGGTAAAGCCACTTGCCCAGGGGCCGGCCCGATGGTGCAGTGGTTAACTGCGTGCTCCGCTTCAGTGGCCCGGGGTTCACAGGTTAGGATCCCAGGCGCGCACCAGTGCACCGCTTGTCAGGCCATGCTGTGGCAGCGTCCCATATAAAGTAGAGGAAGATGGGCACGGATGTTAGCCCAGGGCCAGTCTTCCTCAGCTAAAAAAACACAGGAGGACTGGGATCGCATGTTAGCTCACGGCTGATCTTCCTCACACACAAAAAAAAAAGCCACTTGCCCAAGGTCACCAGCATCTGCCTGGAAGCCCTTCTTCGGCCTCCTGGGCCTTTTGTTTTTTAATTATTTCTAATCCCTTAGTGTGAGTATAGATCGTTCTCATCAAAGTAGCCATAGTCCCCACTCACCTTGCTCTTGTGTGGGCAGGCACTGGCCTGTCGTCACACACAGCCCCGGGACAGAGCTGCCCATGAGGAGACCCAGGCGGGGCTGGGAGTGCTTGTCTGGGGGGCTTCAGGGCCTCCTCTCAGCCACTATGGCCTCCGCCTCATGGGACCTCGGTGGTGGAAGAGAACTTTGGGGGCCGCCCAGCCGGGATCCCACACAGGGTTCTTCTCTAAACAGGAAAAGGAAGGGGACGTCCCTATGCAGGAAGGAGTAAAAGATGAGATTGTTCCCTGCTTCTAGGGGGCTATAGGGTTTGGCCAGATTCTGGGTAACAGGTCTATTCACGGGAGTCTAAGATTTGGGGTGTTGTAGTTTGGGGTTTGGCCTGGCAGGGACTTGATACACATTTGTTGGGTGAGTGCGAGTGTCGGCATCAAGGGCTGGAGGCCTTTGGCTGGAGCTCGGCCCTGCTACCTGGGAGCTAGATAAAGCCCCTGATGTCTCCGAGCCCCGGTTTCCTCCTCTGTGAAGTGGGGAGAACAAAACCCACGCCACAGGATGAACTGCGGGTGGGCCGAGACGCGCTGCAGAGCACCGGTGAATGGGGCTGATGGCTATGGTGGTAATCAGGTCCAGCAGCTGAGTTCCGTGATCGCCCGGGGAGCCTGGCTCTCAGGGCAGAGGAGCTCCTTCCCCCTGCTCAGGAGCCCGTCGCTGCCCAGGGCCTGGGTGGCCACGTGCTCTCCCACCACAGCTGCCGCGCGCCTGGTCCTGTGTGGTGGGCCTTTGGCTCGTGTTTCTTCCCTGTCCCTAAGAGCCGGCTTCCAGCCCTGAGACAGCACCCAGCCAAGCCTGGGGCCCAGGGTTTCTCGGCCTGGGGTGAAAGGAGGGTGCTGGTGGGAGTTGCTGCCGTGTGGCCCCTCCACTGGCTGCCCGTGGAAAGGCCCAGAAACAGGCACCTCTGACGGGGGTGTGGCGGCGTCTGCTTGCTTCCTGGCCCATCCGGGTTTCACAGGCCGGCAGCCTCTGGAGGAGAGGGGCCGGACCCGACTTTCGCTGCGCCGTGCCTGCTCTGGCAGGAAGCAGGGGCAGCCTTCAGACCTTGAGGTGCAAACGGTGGGCTTCCTGAGCACCCACCTGCACAGGAGGTCCCGTGTGGGCCCAGGAGCTGGACGCACACAGAGCGTGGTGGGTCCGAGCCCTGCTTTGTCACGCTGTGAGTGGCTGGAGCAGGTTGCTTCCCTTCCCTTCCTTTTCTGGGACTGGAGTGTATCGGAGCCCAGGCCGGGGAGGCAGGCCCCTCCCAGAGTCTGAGTGTCATTTCTGCCGTGTGGCCTTGAGCAAGTCCCTTGCCTCTATGAGCCTCGGGGTCATTCTTCCTATAAGGAGGGGCTGAGTCAGGGGACCCAGTTGAGGCCAGAGCTACAGGAGTTCAGTCCCGGGAATGAGGCTCCATGCTTTCTTCCTCTTCCCTCCCACTTTTCCTGGTCTGTGTAGCCTTGAGGCTTCTGCTGCAACTGGGAGAGGGGAAGGGGGGAAGGGGAGGCTCAGGAGTGGAGTAAGAGGGTTTTTCCTGTCTCCTTCCTTGCCCCACGACGTTGGGCTGTGGCCAGCTGTCAAGGAATAGGTTAGGAGCCTTCTGTGGGGCCCAGAGCTGTCTGGGGAAGAGGGTCGGGGCACAGAGACCCCTCTGACAAGATCTGAGTCCCACAGAGGGGCTGTGGGTGGTCTCAGGTTAACAGCTGGGGGCTGAGACCGCTGGGGTGAGAAGGTGGCAGCTCATAACCCTGTTGCTGTCTCTTGATTTGAGTGACCCTGAGCAGTGGAAAGCTGTTGCATCTGAGGAAGCACTTTCCTGAGCTTTTAATCCTTAGAATCTTCCAGAGAGGTTGGAAGACTATCGAGAGACCTAGGGATGCCCAAGGCCCAAGAGGCATGAGAGTTGCCCAGGCTGCACGCCTGCCTCAGTTTCCCTGTCAGTTAGCCGGCATGGGCCTCCGAGGGTCCAACTCCTGCTCGAACCCTAATTGCTGCCTCTCTCCTCACCCCACAGGCTCCCCCCTGCACAAGCAGGCCTCGGGCCCCTCCTCTGCAGCCGCCACCCCCGAGAAGCCCGGCACGAAGGCGGCTGAGGTGGGCGACGACTTCCTGGGGGACTTCGTGGTGGGCGAGCGGGTGTGGGTGAACGGCGTGAAGCCGGGCGTGGTGCGCTTCCTGGGTGAGACGCAGTTCGCGCCGGGCCAGTGGGCGGGCGTGGTGCTGGACGAGCCGGTGGGCAAGAACGACGGCGCCGTGGGCGGCCTGCGCTACTTCGAGTGCCCGGCCCTGCAGGGCATCTTCACGCGGCCCTCCAAGCTGACCCGGCAGCCCACGGCCGAGGGCTCGGGCAGCGACGCCCACTCGGCAGAGTCGCTGACCGCCCAGAACCTGTCGCTGCACTCAGGCACAGCCACGCCGCCGCTCGGCAGCCGCGTGGTTCCCCTGCGGGAGAGCATCCTCAACAGCTCCGTCAAGACAGGCAACGAGTCGGGCTCCAACCTCTCCGACAGTGGCTCTGTGAAGCGGGGTGACAAGGACCTGCGCCTGGGAGACCGCGTGCTGGTGAGTTCTTCCCCTGACCGCTCCACCCCTTGTGGGCAAGCTGGACCGGGGGCTGGGCAGGGAGGGGACTCAAGGGGCTTGGGCTGGGTCCAGGCTGGAGCACCACTTCTCAGCAGCACCACACAGAGTGGCCAGGGAGTCAAGTAAAGGACTCTGGAGACTGAGGCTGTGTGATCCTAGGCGAGTGTCTTAACCTTTCTGGGCCTCAGTGTTCCCATCTATGAAATGGGAATTTTGGGTGCTGGCCCAGTGGCGTAGTGGATGCTCCGCTGCGGTGGCCTGGGGTTCGCAGGTTCGGATCCTGGGCGTGGACCGACGCACCGCTTGTCAGGCCATGCTGTGGCGGCGTCCCATATAAAGTAGAGGAAGATGGGCATGGATGTTAGCCCAGGGGCAATCTTCCTTGGCAAAAAGAGGAGGATTGGCATCAGATGTTAGCTCAGGGCTGATCTCTCTCACCAAAAAAAGGAGGAATTTTAATAGTACATACATCGTAGGTTGAAATGCGTGAATGCATGTAATGCTGTTGGACAGAGCCTGAGACTTAGTAAGCGTCCCATAAATGTTAGCTGTTATTGATGTTATCCATTGATCAGCCACCAGTGTGAATGCACCAGGCCTATACTGGAAAAGACCAGGGACCAGAGTGCTCAAGGCCCCTGGCCCAGGGTTGGGTGATTCAGACATCCTATCAGCTGTAGCGCAGAGTGATCGCTGTTGCTGTGGAGGAGAGAATTGTGTCACTGGAGTCACAGGGACCTTCAGCTGAATCTTCCTGCCAGGGACCCTCTTCTCTAGTGGTCCCAGCTCTTGGGGCCAAGTTGGAAGTGGGCAGTGGCCCCCAAGTCCTTCAGCGTCTGCATTCCTCCTTCTGTGGTCTGAACGCAGTAGCCTTTTCCCGGCACCGACTGTGGGCCAGACCTGGGCTGGGGGTGGCAGGTTAGGGTGGGGTCATATCCTGCTGTGCAGCCCGGGTGGCCCGGTTGGGACACCACAGTGTTGGGAAGGGGAAACACAACACAGGGGCAATGCCTGCGACTGGTGGGCCTGGGGTGCAGGAGCCACAGGAGGTGGTCAGTTGGTGGGGTGGTCCTTGTGTTCAGGTCAGGAGGCTTCCCTGGGAGAGGGGGAATTCCCACTGCAAGGTGGGGAGCACATGCCTGGAGCTTCGAGGCTGAGTGGGGAAGGGTTAGGGGGCTCTGGGGGTCCCAGCATGGGGCCAGGAGGGTATCGCTGCCTGGGGTCCTCTGTCCCTGCTTGCAGGGCCAGCGTTTCTCCTGGAGGCTTCTGGGAAGAGTATTTCAGGTGGGGAGAGAGGAGATGTTGACACCCATTGCCCCACTGAATCCCCAAAACCACACTGTGAGGTAATTTTATCATCTCCACTTTATGGATGGGGAAACTGAGGCTCAGAGAAGCTTAATAACTTGTCTGAGGTGACAGAAGAGGACCAAGATTCAAACCAGCCCTGAAGCCTCCCTGTCACGAAACCACGTGCCTCTCCTGCCCTGGTGGTCTCTCTAGGGCTCTGCCCACCCAGGGGCCAGTTTGCCAGCCTGGTTGCCCATGGACGGAACTTCCTCAGGGTGGTCTGGTGGTGGGCGTGGCCAGACTTGGTCCCTGCCCCCCATCAGCTACAGTCTAGAGGGGAGAGACTGTGATCCATGCAGTGGCGGACGTCGGTGTTTCCTTATAAACTCTGGTAAGTGCTGTGGAGAAACAACACATGGTGCTTCGAGAGCCTGTAGCAGAGGCTTGACCCGGTGGGAGGGTGTCCCTAGGGAACAGTGTTGGGGCTGAGACTGGGAGTTGGCCTGACCAGGTGACGTGGGGCGGGAGAGTCGCACAGACAGAGGCCGTGGCTGGAGAGACTAGAGAGAGAAGAGCAGGTAGCAGGGAGCCGGGGCAGGACTGCAGCTGAGAGGCTGGCGGGGGCCGACCCCACGGGTGGGCCCGGGGTGGAGGGGGCTTTGCTCTCACTGCAGAGGGAGCTGCGGATATCTTGCTTGCTGCTTGGTGGGGCAGAATGGGAGGGGGCAGGAGTGGAGCAGGGGGTGTGGGGGCTGCTGTGGCAGCACCGGGGAGGGAGGCTGGACTGGTGGGACCCCTGCGTCTTCCTGTGCAGGAAGCCGTTGCTCTGCTCTTCCTGCCGTGGTCCCCTGGGAAGTCCCCCCTGCTCGCAGGACCCGGCGAGCTGGCTTGCAGTCTTGCTCAGCTGTCCTGGGGGTTGCCCGGGGTCCGAGGGCACCCGCTGGCCATGGCCACTGCAAGAAAATCAGGCCCAGGCTTGTGCCATTTCTGCTACTTCCTAGCTCTGTGATGCTGGGCGAGTCGTTTAACTGGGCCTCATCCTCATCCCCATTCATTCATTCATTTGTCATCTGTCCGTTCAGCAAAACGGGCACAGGTGGCACCCTGGTGATGCTTTGCTGGGAGCACTGAGGAAGCTGGGGGACGTGAAAATGCTTCATAGTTACGAAGGGCTTTGCTGGGCGAGGCCTGGGTAGCGTGAGGTGAGTGTCCTGGGTGGGGACTGCGCCCACTTAGGGACGGGAAGTGGAGGCTCTCAGGGTTACTGACCAGCCGCGGCTGGGGGAACAGGGGGTGTAAGACAGTTGCTCCTGCCTGGAGCTCCCCTCGCACCTCTCCCCCTTCGGGCGTGGGAGTAAAACGTGCAGAGCAGGGGCTCTCACGCGGGCATGGGTGAGCACTGCTCTGGAGGTCTCCGCCAGGCCCCAGCCCTGCAGCAGGGCTGGCAGCGGCCAGAGCAGATGGCCCCCTGATTTCCCAGCCCACGAGGGTTCCACCCTTCACTCTGAAACACCGTTCTCTTGGGGGTGTACCCCGCCCTGGACACTGTGCCCAGCACCTTCTGCGTCTTATCTCCTTGGGTCCTCCCACTTACAAGGTGGGGGTTATTCCCGCATTTTACAGATGAGGAAACTGGGCTCAGCCCTGGAGAACAGCCTGCCCAGGGTCACACAGCCAGTAGGTGGTGGGCCATTCATGCCTTTACTTATCAACGGAGACCGCCCTGGAAACGGGACATCCTCTGATCATGGGTGGGGGAGAGGAGTTTGAACGAGAGGTTTGCTTCTACCATGAGGATCGAGCCCCACATGCCCCCCCACCCCCTAGTCGGCAGCTCCCTTGGGTTAGTCCTCCAGCCTGGTCCGCTGCACCCTACCAGGATCCGCTGGCTCGGCCGAGCCCGGTGCTTGCTGCTTCCCCCGTGCCTGCTGCAAACAGCTGCCACATCACATCCTCTCCCACCCCGCTATAAAATATTATATCCTGGATGTGGGTGACTGTCGAGGCCTGAACTTCTGCAGTTTGAGGATGGGGAACTCGAGGAAAAACAATACGAGAAAATATCGTTTTTGCAAATTTTACAAATCATGTGATCGATCTCATGAATGCATTGTCAGGGCCTCGGAAGAGGCTGGTGCCACTGAAGGACCCTGAGGCCTGAGCTTCACCAGCCACAAGCGCAATTCTGACCTGGGCCAGAGGCGCCAGCAGTGTTTCTGTTCATTACGTTACACTGCTCTTCAAAGTTACCTCTGGATCTGGGTTCATCTGGGCTTCGACACCACCCCATGAGGTCCGTGTACTAGCTGAATGATCATGGGCAAGTTATTGATCCTCTCTGTGCCTCAGTTTCTCCACCTGTAAAATGGGGATAACAGGTCACCTGCCTCGTGTGTAGAGCGTATAGAAAGGGCATGGCTCCAAGAAAGCTCTGTGAAGTGTGGGCATTAAAGTCCGTGAGGGGTGGGCCTTCTCCTTCACCATGGAGGTCCCAGGCGGGTGAGGGCTCAGGGCGCCTCCCTGAGATTGCACAGCGGCTCTCGAGGGCCTGCATGTCCTTGGCTTCCAGTAGTCGAGCACTTGCTGTGAACAGAGCCCTGTGCCAAGAGCTCTACACACAGAATCCGTTCCGCTTCAGCCCCTAGGGTCCCTGGGGGGGGTGAGAGGGAGACCTGGCAACCGCAGGAAAAAGCCTGCCTCACCTTCTGGAATAGTGTTATTTAAATCAGGGGAGTTTGTCACGCGCCTGCCGGAGCCAGGCTGGCAGGATTCTCAGGGGTGGGCGGCCCTCCTCACTCTCACAGCCGCCCTCAAAGCAGAGGGGCGTTATTGCACTCTACAGAGTGAGGCCTGAGACTTGGAGACCGGATCCTCCCGCAGCCCCCAGCCTGGAAGCGACTGAACTGGGCCCACAGTCGCCACACCTTTGTCCTTTCCCGCCTCCGCCCCTCTCCGCCCCAGTACACACTCGTAACCTTTCTGGCTCGTGCCTGAGATGCAGCAGTGAAGAGCGGCAAGAGCCGCTCTTTTCCGCCTTGATTTCCTTTTCTAAACTCTCCCCCCGCACCCAGCTCTCAAAGCCAGGTGGGTTTGGGGGATGAGCATTCAAGGATCCTGGGTGTCTGGGGTGGGGGCGGGAGCAGAGAGGTGAAGTGACTTGTCCAAGGTCACACAGCCGTTTTAGAACATTCCTCACAGGGCTGAGACAGACCCAGGCCTGGTGGCCCAGGTTGGTGGGACCCTGGCACCCCAGGCCACTTCTCCATTTTCTTTTGCCTGGGGAAGCCCACCGCCCCCTTTGGTCCTGGGTGCCTCCCAGGCCTGGGGAGCAGGTGGAGGGCACTTGGCTGCCACACTGGCCTGAGATGTGGAGAGCTGCTGTGTGTGTCCCCCTGGGGCCTGCAGGAGCCCCGAGGTGGGGTCCTGAAAGTCCGTCCCAGGAGGCGGGTCTGTCTGCATGGGTTTTAGGGAAGTTGGCTTCAGAGGCAGTGGGGCCTGGTGTAGCAGACTCAGGAGCCAGCCAGGAAGCCACCGGTTTAGGATTTGGGTCATGAAAGAGGAAAGACCTGCCAGGTTGGAATTACAGAGCAGCAGGAACCGAGACTGACCATGTAGAGAGGGCAGGTAGAGACCTAGTGACAGAGGGGAGGGGCCGGGAAGGCAACCCTACCTGAGGGCCATCGACCAGT